ATTTTCAAAAAGTTATTAAGTTGATGGGATGCCCCACTATTCCAAATTCTGAAAAATTTGTGCCACATTATTCTAGTCGTATTGACTGGTTACTCTGGTTGATTAGTTTTGCCCGAACATTAAATATAATGGGTCATCGAATTACATGCCACCAACAGTTTAAACCCCGAATAGAGATGATGATATTAAACTTTAAAACGTATACACGGTTTAGGTTCGAGCATTAACGTCCCAAAACCATGAGAATAAAAAAAATCAAGTATTTACCATCCTAATTGCCAAAAATTCCTTTTCGATTTGAGATCTTTGGTTAATTGTTTCCTGATATACAGAGCTTTGGCGAATCAGCTCCAACTCATCGTCACTCCAAAATATCTAAGAATATACAAACAAAATCCAAGTCAAAAACAGTGAATTCTTGCCACTCAAGAAATGTGTACAAACAAACAAATCAACTACATGTAAGGACCATTGATCAGTTAAATTCTTGTTTCATTCGTGTCCAAACCACGCTGTCCGAATTGACCGTCTAACAACATAACCTACCTAATTATCTCTAGGAATGCAAATGATAGCTTAATATCATATTCATAACACTCACCGTGCAATGCATCTCCTCCGGGCAAGGAAGCCGGCGGATGTAAGGGGCCCACCCGGAATCCTGCATAAACAAAAACCTCAAACTCCACAGAGAAAATCTTTCCACAACATAGTAAATTAAACTAGAACAGCAATCTACATTGCCCATTCTCTGCTCTAACAAAACGACAGCGGCAAGCTTTGCAGCATCGCCAACTTCATCACTCAACAAATCTTTCAGTTCTGGAACGAGATTATCCGAAGCTAGTTGCTGCAATTACAAACCAAAACAAAGCCTCTTAGATCATAAATTAACAATTTAAACTGTGATTAAAGTCTTAGATAATTTGGGATTAAGGTTTACCACGCTGTACGGAACCTTCAAAACGCAGTCTCCAGCCGTTATACTCTTTGAAGCAAACAGAGACGTTCCGTACGCCGATTTCCCAATCGAAAGCGCTGACGAAATATCTGCGCCGGCCTTCCGCTTCAGCCACGGCAAGAAGTCATCGAATTCGTCGACCTGGTAGAGAATGATGAATTGTTAGCAGGAATTTGAAATGTTTCGGTTTAATTCCGGGATTGTGAAATTCTCTGTTTCGATTTTGGGATACCTTGGGTTGGGACAAGGAGTGGAAGTTGAGCTTGGTGTTTAGAGTGTAAGAGAGGCTGAGATGTTGACGGCGGGGAAGCCAGCGGATATTTAGCATTGCGGTGCGGGATTGAGACGACGTCGTCGATTAGGAGACTGTTGGCTTGGCGCTCCAGGATAAATATTTCATTTGGTTTTTAGGCTCCTAAACCCTAAAACCATACACCATTTGTTTATATATATATATATATATATATATATATATATAATATACAGAGAGCTTAAGGGGAGGGATCCCCATTTTTTGAAAAAAAATGGGGATTAGGTGTGGGGCCCACTTCACATTTAATTTTAACGATTCGAACCGTCTATTTTGTTAGTCTCGATTCATAGATCATCCTTGCAAAATATTAGCTAAATTGGAAATGTTTAAGACATCTAATTGGGTTCAAGAAAATGAACGAATACTTTGTTATATAAGAAAATATGAAATTTGATTTTGATAATTAAATAGGCAAATGGTTTCGGATTGAATTGAATTTTTGCAAGGATGATCTATGAATCGAGACTAACAAAATAGACGATTCGGATCGTTGAAATTAGATGTGAAGTGGGCCCCACACCTAATCCCCATTTTTTTCAAAAAATGGGGATCCCTCCCCTTAAGCTCTGTGTGTGTGTGTGTGTGTGTGTATATATATTGGTCAAAGAGATTCATTGAAAAAGGAGAAACTCCAAAACTAATACAACATACCAAGGCTTTAGTCACCTTCCCTGAACATGACAACCCAGAGCCTAGTGAGGACAATGAGACCGTCTCGATAGATAGAATATGGACTAGAGCAATAAGTAACGACATTCTTAGTTAAAATAACAGGATTCAAGTTTGCTTGTGTGTACGTGCTTGTCATAAGTAGATGATGGGGTTCTAGTCACATAAATCACGTATTTTTATATAAGTGGTGGAAAATTTTACTTTTTAAGTTATCAACTTTTTAACACACATATCTCATCATTTGTTTAGTGACACGTGATGTACCATCCCATGTTCCAGTCACACTGAAAAAAATCTTCCATGCGAGGAAGGTATGGAGAATTAGTCCGATGCTTGAATTTTTTTGTGGTATTTCTATAAAATCCAAAGAATACATGTGGCGTTTGTGAAAAAAAAAAGACCGAGCACAACAAAAACCGAAGCAAGTTTCGGCAAATAAGGTAAAAATAAGGCGCAAAAATTCGTTTCCCAAGCCAACATAAAAGTCTAGCTCGAATTTTCTCTCTCGTCCGTACACCCGAGCCTATCTACTCTCAAACTCACCAAAAACTACATGGATCAAGCTTTTCAAGGTCACCATCGTGTTCCTCTCAAGTCTACGATCTCAACCATACCAATAGTTTGAGGAAAGGATAAGTTTTACACGGGAACTCACGAGCTCCGGCGAGGTGCTCTGTACTTCATTGTGATCGTGGATGTTTCACGGAGTTCTAAAGCTCAAGGAAGTCTTTAATCAACTCCATAAAGACCCTAGAGTAGATTTAGAGTGGAGTTGACGTCGAGATAAGGGGATTCACGAAGTTCCATTTTGGCCAGATTATACCAAGCTTTATTCCGACCATTTTCCGTCAATTTTAGGACTTCAAACAGGTAAGGTTATGTTCTCCTTGTTGAGAGATTCAAATCCATATAAGATTGGTGGAATTTGGTTGAAAAATGAATGAGAAAATGAAGTTTTAAGTTTTTCCAGAAACCAGCGTGTGCAGCAGTGACTAGCGACAGATTCCAGCAAGGCACCGGAGAAGAAATGAGCATATTTCGTCAACTTTAACGACGTTAGGTAGAGTTAACGGTATATGCTACTATTTAACGAAATATTCCCTAACGCTGTTAGGGTTTCCATCCAATGTCCCAAGCACATGCTTGCACGTGCTCGGCGCGTAAGGGAGTGTGGGACGTCGGAAAATTATTCTAAAAATATAGGGATGCTCTTAGTGTTGAGTAGGCCACAATGGTATATTCAAACACCCCAATTGAGCAACGTATGAGAAATTATTATACGGTTTTAGTTATGTGCTTAAAATTAACGTTAGATTAGTTGTTTCACATATAGGTGAGACGTTTCTGGAAGACGAGCGCAGCCAGGCGAGACTTGGGGGTTACGACCCTGCTACATATGAGTAAGTGGGCTTTTGGTTTTCTATATATACGTATATGTGCTTTATAGTTTTCCCAGAAATTGTTTTAAATGGATTTATATTCTTAAATGCCATGTCAATTGCATTACATTTTAGTATGTGCATTAGTATAGATATGCATATTATTGCATGACGCTTTGAATGCTCGGGTAAGCTTCAGGTGAGTACATATTGATGATAACGATTGTAATGTGTTTGGTTATGTTGAGATACATTTAGTGCTCATTATCCTGCACCCCGATGTTAGTGCTCCACCCGAGGCTAGGGCCTAGCGTTCACGTAATCGTTCATCTCCCGCACCATACGCTCACCTTGGATCCATGGCATGTGTCAGCCTATCATACAGACCACATTAGGTGGTTTCGACTCGTAATTGACTTACGATACTTCGCACAACCTTTACGTGATCGTAGCACTTGAGCATACCTATTTACACCCAGCCTGTCATACAAACCACATTAGGTGGTTCTGACTCGTGTGCAGGATTTGGTGAATGAGCTATAGGTTCAGCCGTACAGGTCACGTTAGGTGACTCCGGCTGGCATATCACTTTACATTGATTTATTCCACCTGGCTTACTTATTTCATGGCTGAAATACTTGACATGGCATGTACTTGGTTTTCATTACTCTCGAGCATGATTTCTATATATGGTATGTATTAATATTTTTTGGGAAATTATACAAGTTTTACGGTGAGGGGTTATTACTTTTGAAAAGTGAAATGGTTTTTAAAAGCTTTGTTTTTGCCCACTCACGTTTTCTATTTTGCGCCCATCCAAGTTCTAGGTAGAAGTTCGTGTTGGTGGCTTACGAAGATTCTATGGCGGTTCTGACAGTCTTCAAATAATGTAGGAATTTTCTTTCTTTCATGTCCTGTATAATTAATACTTAGCCTGCTATATTGCACTTAGGTTATCTACGCTCTGATGATGTGTATATGTGCTCTAAATATCTTCATTCGTACTTATATAATTACCTAGTGTAAATTAGCTAGTTGGTTTTTATTTACCCACATTTTTCATATCACTGTCACTTTCGTACTGTGCACATGGCCACGTCATCATCACGTGATGGCCACCATACCTGGATTTAGATCGGGGTGTGTCAGTTTGGTATCAGAGCCTTGGTTTGGCAGTCTTGCATATTTTGTGAGTATTCTAATCATTTTGATGTCTTATGTCAGAACCATGCCGCCTCGAAGAGTGCCACGGACCTCTTATGAGTCTAATTTTCCTGATATTACCCAACTTGGGGAGGCTATTGCTAATGCCATTCAGTCCTCACTTCATCCTCTCCAGAGAACTCCCTTGGAGACGGTATATAATTTGAAGTTGAATAATTTCGTTGGTAATGAGGGGCCCAAGGGAGCCGAGCAGTGGTGATGTGATATAAACTAGCACTCAAACTTAAACTCTCTTTTTGACAATTGTAGTATGGATAAGTAGGGATCGTTCTAGGCTGGGGATTAGGAATGACTGCTAATCTACTCAAATTAGACTCAATTACACTTAACTAGACTCTTATGACTCAAGACTAACTCAAACTACTCAAAACTACACAAAACAAACAAATTGACTCAAAACTAACACTAAGGATGACTTTGGACGAAAATTGAACTAAAAAGGCTCAAAACAATGTGTATGGACAAATTCTAACTTATGTTGACTCAAAATACTAAAAAGAAACCAGTTTGGACATATTCTAACTAAAAGACACAAAATATAAAGGGGGGGAGTGGTTTTTGATGAATTTAAAGTAAAAGCAAATAGATTTAAAGACTCTAAACAACTTTGGAGGAAATTGGGTGTTTTAATGGGTGAATGGCTAGCTAGAGGGTTCATCTCCACACATGACACATATGCATACAAATCAATTTCCAGTTATTATTCCTATTGACCATGAATAACAACACCCCAGATTAATCGTGGACAACACTAATTAACCCTCAGATTTTCCTAAGGTCGTTGAATTGGACTCAGCGTCGCAACCAAATTATTCTTATCAAGTTCCCTACACAAACAGCATGATAGAGATACATATTAAAGATCATTAAGTTCTGTGAAAATCATAAGCATTGACAAGGCAATCGTAACTATGAACAACATGATACTCTTGCCAGGAATTTTACTTAACGCGATCATGACCAGTGACCTCCACTACTTATAAATATAAGTTCATAACTATTAGGTGAAACTCCCTTATATTTTAGCATCAAATTCATGCATGCAAACTAAGTAGGCCTCCTTAATCAACATACAAGAATAAGTTCTGAATCAAATAGTTAAACAAATTGCATTCATGATTTATGAAATAATAACTGAACGTAATCAATTCATATGGATTATATGTTCATGTCTTTGAATCCGCCTCTAGCTAAAACGAGTTTAGTTCCTCATGTTCGCACTTAAACAAAGATAACTTAAAATAAACATTGAAAACAAAAGATAGAATACACCTAGGAACGTTCCAACAATCCAAGCTTGAATGGCAGGGCACGGCTCCAAGGGTCTCATCTCCTTTCTCCTTGCAAGGCTACGACACTAGAGGGATTTCTGTGTATGATGGATGTGGTGCGAATTGTGGTGAGAGATGGATGATGTATGATTGCTGCGGCACAATGTATTTATAGAGAGAAGGGAAGGCACGGCAAAGGGCTGAGAAGGAGGGGAATCAGGACTCCAAATCAACAAGGAAAAAGGACACTTCTCATTCAGATTCCAGGGAGGAAAAGGAATGATCCTTACGGCAGGAAACATAGCTTCTAGAATGGGTGGATGCGGCATGATTTTAGGAAAAGGGCTTGGCTTCTAGAAACCTGATTTGTAGGTATCCTAATGTCATTTAGATGTCCTCCTTCTAGCTGGAAATTAGGTAGATTAGGATAAGGTTAGGATAAGATAAGGTTTGGATAATGTAAGATAAGGTTTTTGGATAATGCTTCCTTGTTTCTTGCTAATTCCTTATCTTCTTTGTCTTGACTTTATTTTCTTCATCTCTTCAGCATATT